ATAAAAGGATTTTATTAAAGCCAGAACTTATTTAGATAGCTTGAAAGTACTACAGCCCAGTACCATGGGCATACCTGGTGCTTACTTGTACCTGATACTATCCTGTAAGTACAATAAATACAAAGTATTATGCATTGCTTTCAAATCATCATTTCATTTATTACATTCAGCTTACAAATGTGCTGCCAGCTTGGTAAACAGGCCAGCATAATTTAGTTGGCTATTGAAAATTAAGCTCATGGCTAAAAGTTGGGTTTTAAAAATCACATTTATGTATTTGCATGAATAATGTATTATGGAAATCCAATCAATAGACACTATAAATGAGTCAGTCTGATCATGTTTCTTTTAAGTTGTTATTTTTTCTTTAAATGTGCTTACATCATTTGTGTATTCTTATAAAAAAACTAAATTCAAAAACTAAATCTAAAATCAGTTTTAGCTTTCATGTTTCTGCTGCATTCTCTTCTGTCACAAATGTTTGAGACATGAGCTGTTTCCAGTGACAGCTGCATGGTAGGCCTCCAAAGTATTGGTAAACAAAACTGTGCATCTGAACAGCAAAACTTTATTTCTGAGATTTACTTTATTTCTTTATTTCTTCTCTTATATTCTGTTTTTCAAAAGCAATCCGAAGTGTTTTGTAGATTATGACAGCAGGTGGCAGCAACTTATCATCAATGACTATTTTTTTTTGGGCACGCTGCAGCATCTGCCACAGAAAAATACAATTAGTAAGTAAAATAAATTGGTCATTTGTGGTAAATTATCTTTAACAGAAACTAGGAAAATAATCTTCTGTAATCAATCCATAAGACAAGCTTTTTAAAAATATAAACTATGTTATTTTCGCTGGCCTGTTACAGGGAGCAGCTTTTACTGTATGTCATGCAACATGCTGACAATAAGTCTGCTGGTCATTTTAGTTCAAACTATTTTGTATCATTCTATTTCCTGTGGAGGGGTGATGAAGAGAGAAAGCAAAAACACAACCTGATGATTGTGTGAATGGTGTGAATAGGTGAAAGTCACATTATGACATGCTTTGAAGAACCTTTTTTAGATGGATGTCTATATACTTTGAAAAAAATAGTGTTTCTTTCATGCTTTATTGACCAAACTTTGTCAAACACTATGACTTCCTGCTGTCATTGTTCCCATCTTCCACAGCTGTAAGCTTGTTCACTTGATGGAAAATTGCCCTGCTTTTCTCCCCCTCCCCTCCTCTCTATCTTTCCTTCCTTGTATCTTCTGAGACAGTAACTACACTGGTGTACTTCTGTTTGACGCTATGTACATGCGCTCAGCTAAGGTAAATCTTCATCTCCTTCAAAGAACACATGGGTGGTGTTTTGGATGGTGGAGAAATACCCGAATCAGCCTATACAAGACATGCACAGAGGGTGTACTCTGCACTCTGCTTCTTCATACTCAGGTTTAGGAACAGCAGACGCACTGTGCTGCTGTCAATCATTCAAGTAAAGACAAAATGTTCTTCTTCACTGAKCTTGAACAGCTGGAATGATTTGATACAATTCACCTGTATGATAGGAAAATGCTGAGATGCATACTGGTGATAAAAAAGTTACTGTTAACAAATAGTAGCACAAAAAAACATGACAGAGAAAGAAATGATTGCAGAATCAAACCAATAAAGCTGATTTTACTTATTTATTTA